AAAATTAAGTACCCATTTGTGCATAATCAAAAAATAGAATCCACGCTTCTCAATGGGTTAATAACAATCTTTTGATTTTAAGATCTTTTTACCATATTCATTTTTTTAATTTTACAAGACTGAAATAAAATAATAGAACAACAACCCTCTCATTTTATAAATACAAGGTATCTCGAACCCCTTTTACCATCAACTCAATTAAATTTAAAAACACCATCAAAACCAATCAAAATAGCTATTCCGAAATATTTGGCTTTACAGTTAACAAAATAATAATATATATTTGTAAACAAATCTAAAGTATAAGGTAGATCATGGAAATTTATGTGATTGTGTACTAATTTCGGAAAATAGGTAAAACATCAAATAATTAGGATGGACCATTCTAAGGACCTTCCAACTTGTCTAGTTGGCGGTTATTTTCATATGAAAGCACTACAAAAAATGATCATTTAACATCATTTATTTTATTTATTTGTATTACTTATAAATGATGTAACAAAATTTTGTATTACTTAATTAAATGATTCTGAAAGTGGTAATGCAAATATTTTGATATGATTTAGTATTTTAGAAATGATGTACATTATTAGGCTACAAATCTTAATATATAAAATAGATTTTTTGAAAAATTATGTAATTTATAAATTAGTTTATTTGAGATTTTATATGTAAGTTTTTAATGTAACTATCTCTAGGTCTTGACATTTTATCCGGATCGAAAAACACGACCAAACCGACCCGAAAATATAGATTCGGCTATGATCCATGATAAAGTACTTACTGGCTATCTTTAAAGACCTGCAGGAATCGATTCTAGTATGGATCATAACCGAGACCCGATCGGGTACATAAAAGCACTCAATATTTTTTTTTTATTATATATGTTTGGATATTTCATATATGTTTTTGGTATTATGTATATTCTTTTAAGTTTTAGTTACAGTTTTAGGTTTCGGGTTCTAAATATATATATATATATATATATATTGTTTTGGATATTCAAATCAAATTTTTGGGTATATTTTGTTTTTCGAGTCAAATTAGGTAAAATTGTATTTATTTATGGTTTGAAGTATTTTTCAAATATTTTTTGGGTTCATTGGTATTTTGAGTCCTAACTATCCAAGCCTACCCGCTACATATCTGGAAATTAGAAATTACCACACTGGAAATACATAGAAATTAGATTATTCATGAAAATATTGAAATTATAAGTTACAATCTTTCACGAGTCTAGATATCTTTTTAAACAAAATTAATGTTTTAAAATAGTTTCTCTAGAATAGTAAATCATTAA